CTTTTTTTGAGAGAGAAAGAGGAAAGGGAGGGAGAGAGAGAGAGACAGACAAACAGACATTGACTTGTTGTTCCATTTATCCATGCATTGGTTGATTTCTCTATGTGCCCTAACCAGGGATTGAACCAGCAGCCTTGGCATATGGGACAGTGCCCTGACCAACTGAGCAACCTGGCCAGGACCCAGTTCTCTCTCTTAAACTTTCTCTCTTCCACTCCACTACTGAACTAAAACTAGTCAAAGTCATCAATGATATATGGCTAAATCCAGAGCTCGGTTTTCAGTGCTCATCTTATTTCACCTATCAATAGCATTTAGCATGGTTATTTAATATCACTCCCTGTCCTTTATTCACTTCCTCAACTTGGCTTCCAAGAACTCTCACTCTCTCACAGGTTGGCTGCTCATCCTAAGTCTCCTCTTCCACATATCTCCTACCCCTTCCACTCACACACATAACCTCCTTTTGGCTCCAACCTCACTGGCCTTCTTCATGTTCCTCGTGGGCACCCGGAATGCTCTCTCCTTAGATTTCTACACGATGGCTTATTACCTCCTTCGAGTCTTTGCTCAGACATCACCTTCCCACAGAGGTCTTCTGTGACCATCCTATTTAAAGCTATAATCCTACTGCCCCCTTAGTGTCTCTAATCTCAGCATCTCTTCTCCTGTTCTACTTTTTAAAAAATAGTGCTTTTACCTTCCAACATGAAATATAGTTTATTTACTAATTATGTTTACTGTTCGGTATCTATCTCCCTCCCATAGACTAGAACATCCATGATGGCAGAGATTGTTTTGTTTTGTTCACTCATTTATCCCAAGTGCCTAGAATAGTGCCTGGCACAGAACACATGTTCTGCAAACACTTGTTGAATGAATGAACAACGGTTACCAGAGAGAGCCTATTCTCCCTTACCTCCTACATCCTGAAGCCCTTCCACTACACAGGGTCCTTTTTAGCACTCCTAAACACTTCTGAATATGCCTAAACATTCTCATGCCTCTTCCAAAAAAAGCATCAACAGCAATCTGACCAACCCATAGTGGGTGAACAATAAATATTTTCTAAACAAAGACTTCAGTCTGAAGATACAGTGCTTGGTGTTTTATCACAAACCTCAATAAATACCAAATTTGTTAACTTCATATCAACTATAGGCTAGTTAAATAAACTTGACCCATAACAAGCAAGCCACTCAAAAACAAAAAGCCATTATATTTAGAGTTTATATAGCAGCCATCTTCCAAGGGATTTAAGAGAGATTTTATATTTTGAAAAATATGATTAATGCTTATGTTCTATGAAGCTTTTCCTCCCATTACTGCTACTTCTTCATTCCAGAGACTCAAAGTTCCCATCAGAAAGCTGCTAATGACGCACTAGGCAGCCAGAGGCAAGTCATGTAAGTATACCCTGGCTAACCTCCTCCCCCTAAAATGAGTATGCTAAAGCAAAGCTACTAGAAAGAATATTCTTGAAAAGTCATTGCAGATGGTTTGAAATACATTGTAAATATGACACACTGCACGACTCTTCGGCACTGACTGTTACTTCTCTTACACTACTACTGCATTTCTGTGGGGACGGAGTTTAAATTCACAGCAGAAAATGTGACTGCATACTTCTAGTAAGACAGAATGTTTAAAAGAAATCCACCCGGCAGTGGAGAAAGCCATTTTCTAGGCAATTTTGAGTAATATATTTAAAGCAAGGCAATGGGCTGACAAGACAAATGTAAATTCCAGCACATCTCAGTGGGCTCTCCAGGACTAAGGGGAGCCTATGTTACATCAAGCGATGACACATCCAGCCGCAAGCCTCCCTCTGAGTGGCATAACGAACAGTAACCCTTGGCTCCTGCCTTTCAGGGCCAGTTCTGCCAGGTAGTGGTGAACAGTCAACCCACAGACATTAAAGGACAGTACCTAAGTATGTCCTCCAAGGAACCACACAGCTGTGGAAAGGGATATGACTTCAGTCTGTAAAGATATGACCTTTTAAGATATTTTTTGCACATACACAAACTATACTAACTGATAAGGAAACCTATAAGAGATCAATGATATAGATAGACAAAGGTTATGACTTAAAAAATTTAAAAAGTGATCAGTCACAAGCATTTAGAAAAAGCCTCACTAAATTAAAAACAATCCAATCTCCTCATTAAATTAGTACTCTTTTTAGCAAAGTACTAATTCACAGTGTTGTGAGGGTACATGAAAACTGATGCTTTCATATCTTGGTGGTGGTTTTCTGACTTTCACACAATCTATTGGGGAAACATGTTCTTTTTATTAGTATTTAGATATGTATCTAGATTAACACATATCTAGACTAATAATTTCATTTCTAGGAACTATCTTAAAATTCTTAAATTATGCCCCATATACTTAGTAAATTATTATAAACCTTAATAATAGTTACAAGACCAAAGAGCTCACAGGTAAATGTTTATAATAGTTATATTTGGTGAAAAAAAGAAAAGTCTGGATCATTTCTATAAAAATATACATTCATGTATATAAAAATACTAGGCGTACACAAAAAGGACAGAAAGAAAGAAATAGGGTCAGATCAGTTTTCCTTTTTTAAAAATTTAAGGGTAAATGTAAAAATTTTCTGTAATGTTATCATTTTTATGAATAGAAGTAAAAGCTCTTTCATACTGCACTTACAATGTCTAACAAAATACTCTGAAAATATTTTTGGTGTTGCAATCAAATAGGGTTTTCAGATCCATATTTTCTCTAACTGGTTGATTTAACCCTGATAGTTTTGTTTTGTTTTGTTTTTACATGTGGGGACAGGAAGCAAGCTCTGGGGCTCCAGGAAGACCCTTTATGCCTGTTCAAAAAATGCTGAAAACTGTTGAGTCATATCAGGTAGGACTCAAGAATTAAAACTACTAAAGCATGAAGTGCTAACATTTTAAAGTATTATGTTTCTCTGTACAAAATGCATTAAGATAATTATTTTAAATATCTACTGAACCATGAGAGTTTTCTCATATGGCTACTTAAATAATTTTTTGGTACTAGGTTAGATACTTAAGCAGGCCAAATGACTCAGTAACTTGGTGGTAAACTATTAATACACTGCTCTAAAAGTCTAACCTTCCAGAGAGCTATGATGACTTTGCTTCAGAGAGATTTAATATGAAAAATAGGCTACACAACTGGGGATTTGGCTGAAAAGTGCCAGTGGTGTGGAGCATTCAGTAATAAAGCAGTGAAAAGTACCTACTGACCTAAAATAGTCCGTGTGTCCCTTTAAGCAGCTACCCTACCTTCAGGAGGTGATTTAAGAACTATAAAGACAATCTAGTTCACACCAATTTATGTTTAGAAGTAGGCTGCCCATTTCAGATTATTCAGCTGGATATATAACCAATTATTGGTTATATTAAGAAAAATGTTGATGTTAGAAAATCCAGACAATATTAACATTTAGAAAATACGGGGCAAGACAGTTGGTAAAAAGCAATTCAAACAATATTTCCTGTCTCACAAACTTAAACACCCAAGGTGATATCCGGAGGTGGCGACTGTGGGAAGTGTTCAGGTCATCAGGGTGGAGCCGTCATGAATGGGATTAGTGTTCTTAATAAAGAGACTCCAGAGAGCTTTCTAGACTCCTTCCACCAGGGGAGGACACAGAGAAAGGCGGTCAGCTGGGAATCTGAGCACAGGCTCTCGCCAGACACCAAATCTTCCAATATTCTTGAACTTGGCATTCCCAGCCTCTCGAACTGTGAGAAATAAACTTCTGTTGTTCATAAGCCACTCAATCGATGGTATTTTATTATGGCACTCCAAATGACTATAATAAATACAATTTTAAGTTTAAAAGCATATTGAATTTCAATGATGGCAAAGCTTCCATCAAGCAGGGCAAAAATGGCTTGACAGTTTAGTAAAGTTTAGAAAAGGCCTGTGACCCTTCGCTAGCTTCACAAACTGGTAGAGCGTGTGTACTTGCCAGGTCTGATGCTTCCACTGTTTAAAGAGATGCCAGACTCAGACCCTCCTAACCAAAGATACACACCTGCTAGGTCTTCCACTGACCCAAATGACAATGATTCAACATCGTGTATAACTAAATATTAGTATTCCTATCTCGCCTTCCCCCACACAGAGATCACATTAGAATGCAATGTCAGTGAGGAGGTCAGGAAGCTTTCTTCACCTCCGCATCCCTCATGCCCGTGCCCATGTGGGTGGAAGACATGACTGGATGTACAGTCTACTGAGGGAGACGGATATTACAGAAGTAACAACACAAAAAAACTATTTATAACCTTCTTGGTAATTACTGTAAGTGGAAAGCATAGGGTGTTATGAGGGAAGGTAGCAGGGAGACTAGAAAGAGGCTTCCAAAGGAAAAGGGAATTTAGGTTGGGTTTTGAAGTTATAGGCAAATATAATAGAAACAGAAAAGGGAACAATGTTCTGAGGCAGATGGACCAACCTGAAGAGGAGAATGATCTTAGTGTGTTTAAGGAGCAAGAGGAAGTCTTTGGAGGTAACTCAGATGGATATGCACTCAATATTTCAGGTACATATTGGCACGTTCTATTACAAAAGGAATTGAATTATGGTAATACTATTAAATCCTTAATGTCTTCTGTGTAAATGCATGGGATCAGCCTAAATGACTCTTCATCATCATTAGGTTTACATCCACCCATTCTTTCAAAAAGCACCTGTCACATGCCAGGCACTGGGCATTCAACAATAAATATGACACAGTCCCTGTCCTCAGGTGACTTACAGTGCCTGGATCAGCTACTAATCCATATTTAAAAATTTAAAAACAGAAGAGCCATATGTTTTAGTACATAGAATTAAAAATAATAAATTTTAAAAGGATCAGCAATCAAACTGGAAAAATATCTACCTTTCACAAAGTGTTTATTTTTTCATATATTAATACATCTTGGAACTCAATAAGAAAAAATTCTGTAAAAAAAAAAAGAGGTAAAAAAATAGGAAGAGGAATTCACAAGAAAAGAAATGCCCTATTTAAATTATGATGTTTTTTATTTCAAGTCGTCACGGCGGGGTATTGGGAAAAGTTTTCAATTAGCAATAATTGCGCCTCGGATAAACCTCATTGGCTACGATACTGCCACTGCGCAAAGCTTAAATTATGATGTTTTTTAAAGTGGTGAAAGCAAATACTAGTGTTTGGCTATGTTAGAATGTATATTATGGCATTTTTTGTGTTGACAAATGACTGAATGACATTAACTGCCCATCATTAGGGAACTGATAAAATAAAGTTATACCCAATTATGTGGCATCCATATGATGGCACAATATTCAGACATCAAAATTAACAGGACAGGCATTTGTATATATCTAGCAATAAGTGCTAACATGGAATACTCTCTAAGACTTATTTTCAGGCAAAAAAAAAGGAAAAAAAACAAAGTAGTGGATACTGTTCTGCTGTTATTTGTATACATACTATTTTAAAAATACATATATACATAGTAGTACCTATGCTATCTCTAGACCAGAGATAAATGGCGGCACACTAAAATCACCTAGAGAAAAATACATGTGTCTGAGCCATTTTCCAGACCAATTCGACCAGAGGCTCTGTGGGGCAGAATCAGGCACCAGCCTTTTTCTGAAGCTCCGCGTACCATTGCATTGTTTATTCAGGAGTGAGCACTTCTACGACCGGCCACTGAAGAAACTGGTGATGGTGGTTCCCCCGGGGAGGAGACCCAGGAATCCAGGGCCAGGGAGGGGAGGGACTTATTTTTCCATTGTGCTACCTCTGTAATGCTTGAAGTTGTGAGTGTGTGTGTGTGTCTACCATGTTCATAATACTTAAAGACATTTAAAAATAACATTTCTAGGTAATTTTCCACAAAGATTTGCAAAATCTGTCTCTATTCTCAATCTCTATGGTATATTTTTCATACATACAGCCATTACTTGAAATTTATTCAATTAAAAAAGAGATACACTTTATTTTTATGATGAAAAATATTCAAGTCTCTCCCAGGATGTGACCACCTATGTTAGCAATAGGACCCAGAGGCAGGAGTCCAACCCTGACTGTGTGTGTGGGGGCTGGGGGTGTGGGGGGGGGGGTCTCGGTACTGACTCAGTAAATGGTCCCTCCCATGGTGCCTCTTTGGCCCTCTTAACTTGGCCTCTGGAAACATTTTTTCCTTTTCTCCCAAAATGTTTTTGTAAATTTTGTAAATCTATGTGAAAGGTCATAGATTTGATATAACCAGCATTTAAAATGGCAATCGATTAGCTATTCATTATTCCCCTTTCTTGGCTTTGTATTTCTTCATTTTATATTTCCCTGCTTTCTACACACCATGCAGATATTCATAGATTTATATACGACTCGACTCTGCCCCTAATACATAAACTGCACAATGATGGGGATTTGTGTCATTTTTTTCCACAGTTGAATTCCCAGTACCTAACTCAGGGTCTGGTACACAGCAGGCACTCAATATTTGTTGCCTGAAAATAAAGCTGACTTTCATCTCTATGGAAATATCATTGCCCACCTCTTCCACTTCACAACCACAAACCTAGTCAAATCACTAACCCCGTGGGCAGGTTCCTGGGCAGCTTTCTGATTGGTCGGGTTCTGCCCTGACCCCACCCTTCTACACGCAGTGGCCACATCAATCTCCCTCTAACATATGTTAGATCATATCACTCCCCTCTTTAAAATATTCCATTCCTTCCCATTTCACTTCAAATAAAACGCAAACTCCTTATCTATATAACTGGCCTTTGCTACAACTACAGGCACCGCTTTTCCTTTACTACCTTCCATCTGCGACCACCACCTTTTCTGTTTGTCTCTGTGCACAGCAAACTCCCTCTGCTTTAGAACTTGTACTTCTGTGTTTCCACTGCTTGCAACTCTTCTTTTGTCTCTTGCTACAGTTCTTTTATTACACCACCCAGTTTATTTTCTTTGGAGATTCCGTGAGATTATAAACATACTTGTTTAATCATTGTTCACACTTTCATCATCCGTCCCACTCCCCTTTACCCCTAGTTAGAATACAAGCTCTATAAAGCAGCATGACCCTTAGACCTGGGAAAGAGCTGCCTGTGCCCACGTTGGAGAGCTCTAGAAGGTTCTGCTCTGGCCCTGCACATTTATCTGCAGTCCATGCCACTCCTTCAAAACCAGCCCTGTTCAACAGAACGCTGTGTAATCACGAAAAGGTTCTGCATCGGAGCTCTCCCATACTGTAGCCTCTAGCCAATATGTGGCTTGAAATAGGGCTAGTGCAATAAGGCAACAACTTTTAAAAGTTTACTTAATTTGAATTAATTGACATTTAAATAGCCATGCACGGTAAGGGCTACCATATTAGTCAGGGTAGCTCTGGCTGCTCTGGGTACCAGACATCCCAGAATCCCTCAGACAAATGGCCTTGAGTCGTTTCTCAGGCCTGATTTGGTCTCTTCTCAGGTTTATCCTTCTTAGGACATACTTCCCCACCAGTGCGCACACTCCCAGAGCCAGATGTGACCAAGGGCAGCTATTGCTAAGGAAAGAGTGATGAACAGGAACTTGAACAGATAGGACAAAAGTCCCTCAAGGATCTTGACAGAGCCTAAAGGAACAAAAGAGCTGCGTGTCAGCTCTCTCCCCACTGCCACATCTCCATCTGGAGCTTCAAGAACTCTAAATTCAAATTGGCCTTCTCAGTCATTATAAAGGCAGGCACTACTTGGGTTGCCATTGACCCTCTCACCCCAAGACCCTGCAGAGGTGGGTCTTCCACAAGGAGAGAGACTTTATTTTGTTAACCTCTGGGTCTTCTGCTCCTCACTGGTTACCTAGCACCCACCTTGGTGCACAGTAGGTGCTCAGTAAATATTTTTGGGTAAGTAAATAAAATATGTCCATTGTATCAAACTTTGGGTGATACTGGGTGTTAAGCAGGTAAAAAGATATTTCTATGGACTGCATTGTTTAGCAAATAATCTAACATCTGTATTTCCTACCAATGGGGCATCGAAATATGAGACAGATAGAAGAGAAAGATAAAACTGTAAGCAGAGAGAGAGACAGTTTCTGGGGTGATGTGCATTGGCAAAGCTTATCACAGGAGACAACCTTCCTGAAAAATCTGACCAAATCTGGATGGATGCTAGGAGATAAGATATTCAGACTGGCTAGGGTGCTGTCTTTTTCTTTTTTTTTTTCCTTTTATTTTCTTTCTTTTCTTTTTTGTTTTTCTTACCATACCTAAGAGTTATAGCTTTCTTCAGTGATTTCAAAAATACAAATTAATACTAGAGCCCCACTGTATATCATTTATAATTATACATCATTTTCTGAGGATGATGGTATGATAAAAATATATGAAAGTCTCACTCCAAAAATGGAAGTTCAATCCTTTTCGAGTTATCCTTTTGTGATTTCCACAGAGAACCAAAAACAAGAATGTTTCCATGTTATGTCCAGAGAGATGCCTGGAGTGGGTGGACCCGACTTGTACACGACCAGCAGGACTTTGGAGCTCTGGGTAAGCCACGTCCTGAACACACTCTGTCAGGGAGCAGCAGTTCCCAGGAACTACCTCCGCCAAATATGTGTGAACCACATATTTCATGAACGCTCACTAATACAACTCTAGCTGCACATTCCAACCTCTGCAGGCAATTACATCATTCAGGAAAATGAAGGTTCTATTAGGTAGGAGAGGTGGGAGTTCCTACCTGTTTATTTCTGACAACAGAACCAAAGGAGGGCAGCGCGAGTATAATTTTCCCAGCTGGCATGCCTCTGAAGACCGGGCCTCAGCAGTGAGGATTAACAGCTCTGCTGGCTTCACTGCTTTCTAGGGTCAGAAAGCCCGCTGCTCTCGTTCTTCAGGCTGACTTACGGGGGTGCTTACAAGCAAGGCAGCCCATTTTATAGGGGGCACGCTACAGATTTCTTCACATAGGAAGAAATGTGCTAATTAATATAATTTAGATTACATGAGAATTACAGAAAGAAAATTCTACACATTTTCTAAACAGTGAGATTCCCCCCACTGGAACATTATTATTTTCCTCTTCATATTTTCTGTGGTGATTTGAAAAATTAAGACCATTCTACTAAATAATTCTCTAAAAATTACCTGCAAAATTAGTTTTCTTAATTCATAATTTTTCATTTACTTTTGAAAGTAATTAAAAGCAGGACCATCCTCAAAACAGTCCCTTGCCCTCATGCACTTTGCTTCTCAGTTAGACTAAAACTCAAGGGTTTTTAAACAATGAAGGCTCTTCTTTTTGGCAAAGACAAAAGCAAATAGAAAAATATTGCTTGGTAATTCAGTCAATATTTTAAAAACAAGTTTTTAAAGGAATTAGGAAGACTGAAATAGAAAGCTTTAGCCTAATTAAATCAAAACTAAAAAATTTAATTAAAAACATTTTTAAAATCACAGTTTCTTGTGAACTTTGAGGACACTATGCTGCGTGTAGTAAGCCAATCACAAAAGGCCGTGTGACCGCCCTCCCATGAGGGGCCTGGAGCAGTCTCACTGAGACACAGAAGTAGGATGGTGGTTGCCAGGGCCTGGGGAGCAGAGGGGGTGGGGAATTACGGTTGATAACTGTACTAATGCCACAGAACAATGCATTTAAAAATGGTTAAAATGACAAAGTTTGTTACGTATATGCCTATTTTACCACAATAAAAAATGTTTTTTTAAACCAACATGGCTTCTGGTAGAGAAATCTGAGTAAGCCTCCGAACTCGAAAAAAATTAAAAGTGAGAGCAAGAAATTCTCTCCATTAAAAAAAAAGGGAGGAGGGATTTTGAGGAACAAGTATGAAAGACAGAGAGATGAGGACTGGGGGGGGGGATGGGAGAAATAGATTAAAAAAAATGTACTTGAAAAGTAACTAAATAAAATTTAATATTAAAAAAAAAAAAAGAAATTCTCTCCATTAAGCTGACGAATACACTCTCACAGAAAGTCAGCTCCAGGAAAGCAAGAACTGCTCGCTGCCTCCTTGACTGTGCCCAGCTCCTAGGGTGGCTCTGGTCAGGAAGCTAAGCAACACATTTGTTGGTGGGAGTTGTGGTGAAAAGGGAAGAAGGGGAGGTATCTTTCCTCCAGTTTTCTTAGGGTAGAATA